CCTAAACCCTAAACCCTAAAGTATATTCCTTGACTCAAGGGGATTTGGAGTCTCTGGGTACAGATGATTGCGCCATAAAGGAGTCGGTTTTAGGGATCTTCTTATAGTACCCTTCTAGAAACCTGTCTAGATCCCCTTATGGACCCCTAAACCCTAAACCCTGAACCTTAAACCCTAAACCCAAAATGGAACCCTTTTTGGTGATATTCCTGAATGAAGGGGTTTGGCTCTCTTCTTCAACAACAAGGCCCCAAAAAATTCAAACTTGTTAGGATAGACTTAATATATAAGGCCACAAAGTTTAAAGTTCTCCCGTTGAGGACCTAAGTTGGGAGTCTCTGGAAGCCTCCCGGAGTTAGGGGCTTTCTTACTTTGGAGGCCTCGGCGCTGAACATCCGCTGCGTCGTAAGGTACCACGATTTGAGGGTTTAGGGTTCAGGGTTTAGGGTTTAGGGTTCAGGGCTTAGGGTTTAGGGTTCAGGTTTTGGGGTTTAGGATTTAGGGTTTAGGGTTCAGCGTTCAGGTTTTAGGGTTTAGGGTTCAGGGTTCAGGGTTTAGGGTTCAGGGCTTAGGGTTCAGGGATTACGGTTCAGGGTTCAGGTTTTAGGGTTCAGGGTTTAGGGTTCAGGGCTCGGGTTTGGGGTTTCGGGTTTGGGGTTCAGGGATAGGGGTTCTACTTGCCAGCCAGATCCTGCTAGAGATCTGGCAAGCAGAATCCTTGGTAAGTGGGGCATAAGCAGCATTTTTGGTAGGGCATTCCTGATTTAGGGTTTAGGGTTAGGATTCAGGGCTTAGGGTTTAGGGGGCTTAGGGTTTAGGGTTTAGGTAGTGGGATTAGGGTTTAGGATTGAGGTAGGGGTTTAGGGTTTAGGGTTTAGGGCCGAGACACTGATACCGCAAACATGAAAGCAAACACACAGCAAGGACACATGATCGTAAAGAGCCGCCCATATCATCCACCTCCCCCTTCTCCCCCACAGAGCCCAAAAATCCCTTGAAGCAAAGACTATGCACTAATTTATGTTAGTAAGCCCTCGACCTAAACCCGAAACCCTAAACCCTAAACCGTTCTACACTTTGAAGTATACTGTTACAGTTCGGGGTCTGGAGCTTTTCCGGGTCTCCACCTGTGGCCTTACCTACTGAGGCCACTACTACCCTTTAAGTCAGCGCTCTCCGGGTTTAGGGTCTTTTAAGCGGTTCAGGGTTTAGCGTGTAGGGCTTCAACCTGAATCATCGTAAGAAGCCAACACAAAAACGGTGGAATCTTCGTGCACCATAGCAAGACAGAGCCCCCTATTCATAAATTTGGGGCATGCCTGTGACCCAAGAAGCTAAAGGAGGCGGTTGCTAAAGGGTTTCACAACAAGGACGCCCATAATCTAGGTACTGTGGTTTCCTGGTACTCTAACCCTAGACCCTCCCTAAACCCTAACTTACTTGTCCACTGGGGGATACAAAATACAACCTTAAGGTTATGTAGGACATTCTGGTACCCCCAAACAAGGATGAAGGTTGCTGACTCGACTACAAAGCTAGTACGGGGTGTCTGCCTCTCTGGGCATTCTTTCGCGCACAAAACCCGGAGCCGCGCCTAATGAGTTCTGCTGAGCCAAAACCGGATCGTGAAGAGGCCTGCAGGATCTGCACTTCTCTCTCTCTCTCTCTGTCTGTCTGTCGGTCGGTCGGTCGGTCGGTCTGTCGGTCTGTCTGTCTAATTATCTGTCTTCTCTCTCTCTCTCTCGCTCTGTCTCTCTCTCTCTCGCTCTGTCTCTCTTTCTTTTTTGGAGTGGGCAGGTTGGGACCCTAAACCCCTAAACCGCGGGCTTTTGTTTGGCGACGGGGGGGGGGTGGCGGGCGGGCGGGTGGGTGGGTGGGTGGGTGGGTGGGGGGTGACCGGGGTAGGGTTTGCAGGCTTGGGGGATTCAGGTGTTGAGTTCGGGGTTTCGGCCTTAGATTTTAAGCTGGAGGTTTCAGGACCGGAGGTTGTTCAAGGGCTTTTGGGATATAGCGCAGACTACTTATATAAGGAGTACAAACAGGCATTGCTAGCGTATTAGGTCCACAACCCTCAGCCTGGACTGTAGACTGATAAACCCTAGACTAATAAGATCCTGAATCCCCGAAATCCTCTCTCCTACTCTCTTTCCTGCACTCCCTCCCTCTCTCTCACTCTCTCTTTCTCTCCCTCCGACCAGGCAACGAAACCTAAACCACCAAAATCCTAAACTCCAGACTGTCCGCTTGCCCAACCCCGCCTCCCGGCTGATCCCGTAGGTTGCGAGAGCAAGCTTTGCAGCCGCAGTGTTGCGACGTACCTGGAAAGCCGAAACCACAAGACCCTTACTTGGGGGCCTGAACAATCAGAATCGGGTTTTGTGGGTACAATATCCCTAAACCCGAAACCCTAAACTGTTATTGTAAGGCGATATCTAGGATCCCGACGGAATACGAACACCAAAAATTCAGGCCCCGATACTAGCACAGAAATCCCAGCGTACACCCTCCAAACTTCACCGAATAAGCCCTCGAATACTACCTTCCTATACCTGTACACCGGACACCAACACAGGGATGACATCCTTAGGCGCCCTCTTCTCTGCTGATGTGTTGCTCCCAGTCGCTAAAGCCAACAGATGATGAACAGACCTCGACCCCTCACAGTTTGATCCGCCATCCTGCTTCGCGGAAGTCTTCAGCCATCTTCTCTAACGATGAGGACATAATTGCACCTCCTGCGTAAATCCGGCGTGTACCTTACCGAAGCTAACATGAGATCCTTCCTTTTACCATTGTTGTTGTTGTTGTTGTTGTTGTCCTTTTTTCAAGTGCTCTTGTGTGGGGGGAGGGTTTGGGTTCCAGCAATAAGGTTTTCGGGATTCCTTGTGCCATTTAGGTTCCTTCTTCGGAGGCTCAGACTTTTCGGAATCTAGGGCCCTAAACCCTAAGTAGTATTTGTCGGATCCTTGCCTATCTGAAACTCCAAAGACAGACCTCAAGGGAAGGACAATGCCTCAAAATCAGGTTGCCTTGGTTGTCTAGTAACCTTTAGAAGCCATAGGGGTAATAGTATCCCGAAGTACGCTAATATTACCGTTGTAAAAAGGGCTTATGAAACCCGAATGAAATCTTACTCTATAGCGAAATCATCGAAACCCTATCCCTAAACTACTCTAGTGCCCCTTAGCCCTGAACCCTCGACAAACCCTAAACCCGAACCCTGAAGCCTATAGAAACCCTCAAACCCGTAAGACGCCCTGAGCCCCGGAACCCTGAAACCAAACGAAAATCCTAAGCCCTCAAGAAGCCAACAACCCGAAACCCCGAAACCCACACAAGCCCTTGAATCCTTAAGGCCCCAAAACCCAACCCTACTTGGACAGTCGGGGACTTAGTCAGTGGGCTTATGATACTAACAACTGTCTAGAAACGACAAATGCAAAGGTACGGGCCTTAATAATTACCTATACTATTGGGGGGGCTCCTTATTATAATTATACGTATTATAATGGGCCCCAACGCCCTATTCTAATTATTAAGGCCCCTATATTACTTACCAAGCCCCCGACCCTTCAAGTACAAACCTCAAGCCCTAAGCACTTTGAGCCCTGAAGAGACCCTAAAGCCCTAAAGAAACACCGAAGCCTTAGGCCCTAGAGACAGCTAGACCCTAAAGCCCTAAACCAGTACATCCCTAAACCCTAAAACCCCAAATCCTAAACCCCTACACCCCTAACCCAGAACCCTAAACCCTAAACCCAAAAACCCAAACCCTAAACCCGAAATCCTAAACCCCAAACCCAAAACCCTAAAGCCCTAAAAGCCTAAATCCTAAACCCCTACACCCCTAAAACTGAAATCCGACACCCAAAAACCCTAAAACCGTAAATCCTAAACCCCAAACTCAAAAACCCTTCAACCCAAAAACCGGCGCACGCGCGGCGGGTCAGCACCGCGGCGGCCCAGCCGCGCAGCAGGGACTCTGTGTCGCACGCCTTGGAATATTTTAGGGTTTTTAAGGATTTTTGGGGTTTCAGGGTTTTTAGGGGTTTTAAGGATTTTACGATTTTAGGGATTAGGATTAGGAATTTTAGGAAGTTTAGGGGTCCCAGGGGCGTGTAGGTTTTTAGGGGCCTGAATAGTTCCCAATACTATTTTGGGGGTTCCTTATTATAGTGACAGTATAAAATACCCCAAAACCCGGGGTTTAGGGTTTAGGGGTTTTAGGGGTTTTAGGGGCTTTAGGGGTTTTAGGGGTTTAGGAATTTTAAGGGTTTTAGGGTTTAGGGGTTTTAGGGGTTTACGGGTTTCAGGGTTTTAGGGTTTAGGGTTTTAGGGGTTTAGGGGGTTGAGTGGTTTTAGGGGTTTAGGGGTTTGGGGGTTTTAAGGGTTTTAGGGGTTTAGGGGTTTTAGGGGTTTTGGGGGTTTTAGGGGTTTAGGGGTTTCAGGGTTTTAGGGGTTTTAGGGGTTTTAGGGGTTTTAGGGGTTTAGGGTTTTGGGAAGTAGGGACCTGAGAATCATTGCCGGAATCGATCTGAATGCTTCCGTGGACGTGCCATCAACAGCGAACTGGACCTTTCACCCGACCCGTTCTTGAGGGTTTAAGGTTTTAGCTCGGAACCTTTACCAGGGTGTCTGTCTGGTTTAGGTTTCGAAGGATACAACCTGTCGGTCCAAAGGACCCAACAATACTGGGGTGCTCTTTACTACCCTGCTAAAATTATAACTTTTAGTACCCCTAATATCAAGAAGGCTAATCCTAAAAGTGGTAAAGCTATAAAGTCACCGTAAAGTTCAACCAACTAACTTTGGTTTCGGGCAGTAGTTTCGTAAGTTGGTGGTTGGGGGAGCCTATGGCTATTGGGCACTTGGACCCTCAGGCACTCCCAAGTTTCTGGCTTACTATAGGGGCCTTAATAATTCGAATAGGGTTTTGGGGGGGTTTCTTTAAAGGGGTCCTTTAAGGGTTCTTAAGGGGTTGGGGATTAGAGGCCTGAATAATTAGAACAGGGCTTTGGGGCCCATTATACTATAATTGTAGTAATAAGGAACCCCCCCCCCCCCAAATAGTATCGGTAAGTGTTTAGGCCCCTACATTAGGGCTTCAGGGTTTGGGGTCGCGCCATCTCCGTGCAAATCCTCTCAGGCACCGTTCTAAGCTCGGGGCCTCTGCCAAGGCCAAGGGTGCACCCAACTCGCCCGCCAGGCCTCGGCCACCGCGAGTTTCATAGGAGGCTGGGCCCTTCAGGAACTTGTGGTATCTTAAAATTCACAACAAAAACCATCAGTTGCTTAGGATTCTTTGTTTCACGCAACGGAGGTCTGCTTCGGGGCCCGTAGCACAGAGACGTCACTAAAGGGCCAAGTTCATTATTCCAGCTGGGTTCGCAAGATATTCGAGCGTTGTGGGTCAGTGAAACAGGCTTGCCGGCTCGAACTAATCATTATTACCAGACTTGTCGCTCTGTGTGGGAATCTGTGTACTCTGCGGGGTGTATACCAAGCCTTTACTTTAACCCAAAGCTTTACATCAACATGGCGGTCATCATCATCATCGTCATCATCACATCATCATCATCATCATCACAATCACCACCACCATCATCATCTTCATCGTCATCATTCATCATCATGAGCATAAGCATCGTCAGCATCAGCATCTTCGTCATCATCATCATCAACACCATGGACGCCTTCATCAGGCGGATCTTACTCTTAGTATTTCCATTGGAAATCCTTTTTGCTTTGTTCTTCTTCGTGTTCTTGTTGTCTGATTCCCCCTGCTGTGAGGCTACGGCCCGAGCTCTTTGCTGAAGCCATCCATGCCTGAATGTGGCTTCGGGTTTTTTGTGCTGCTTGACTCAGGCTAAGTAGTGTTTTTAGGATTATAGAGAACTGCGACAACATGACAAGTAAACCGTAAACCCAAACGCCCATACCCAAAGTATCCGCAGTCGAAGTGCCATTCAATACGAGATGCCCCCCCTCCTCATCGCTTCGGAGGGAGCCAAGCCCTGTAGTTCCCAGAGATCCCAACACCCCTTAATTAAGGCATATACTATAGGGGGCTTAACATAATGACTTAGAGTACATTCCTTAATTAAAGAATACAATGTATACAGGGGGCTTATATTATGACTTAAGGTATAGAATATAGGGGGCTTGAAATGATGATCTATGGTATATTCTTTAGTTAAAGAATATAATATACGGGTGTTTAACATTATGACTTAAGGTATATTCCATAAACAAGAATAAAATGTAGGGGGCTAAATATTATGAGTTAACTTTTTTTAATTAAGGCATATAATACAAGGGGGCTCAATATTATGATTTAAGGTTTAAGGTATATTCCTTAATTAAGGAATACAACAGAGGGGGCTAAACATTAAGATTTAAGGTACACTCCTTTATTAAGGAACAACATATAGTGGGCTTGAAACTATGATTTACAGCAAATTCCTGAATAAAGGAATTAAGGAACATACTATGGTGTATGATGACTCAAGTATATTCCGTAATTGAGGAACAAAGTATAGGGGCTCTTGTGTTTAAGGTTTATTCCTTAATTAAGGAATAGAGTATAGGGGGCTTATTATTATGAGTTAAAGTATATTCCTTAATTAAGGACTATAGTATAGTGGACTTAATATTATAATTTACGGTAGATTCCTGAATTCAGGAATGTTGGGATCTCTGATTACGGAAGGGGGCCCAAGGTAAGCCAGTAATTTGACTCCCGAAGCTGCCTTCAGAAACCCTAAACCTCCTCCCACCTTGACCCGCACCCCATTCTTCAGGATGATAGTTAAGAGAGTCACTATACAGTGCTATTATGGAATTAAGTCCCCAAAAAACCATAGTACGGATGGTCTGTTGTACCTACATATGGGGGTTTCCGAAAATAGGGGACCCTAATATAGTACCCTAAATACTAGGATCCTTATTATAAGGACCCCAAAATAAGGTACCCCTATTTTCGGAAACCCCCATATGGACCCTCTGGGCAATATGTGCTGCGCTTCCACAGACCCTGAGCTCTGCCGCGTCTAGGACTTCCCCACAAGGCCCAATACCCCCTAATTAAGGAATATACCTTGCATCATTGAAAAAGCCCTGTAATTTAAGGTCTATTCCCTCATAAAGGCATTTTGGGCTTCTTGGGTCTATACCCTTCAAGTTCCCTGCTACAGAAACCGCCGTGATTACAATGTTCTCATCGGAAATCGAAACTAGAACGATAAGAATAAAACGAGCTGCTTCCTGCCTTGCAGCCCGAATCACCGTGAAAATTGAAATCTATACCATTTCGGCCCTGCGGAAACTCTCTTTACAACACATACTGCACAGACACAAAACAGCGCTTGAACGATCAGTCTACTCCCTACCAGCCCCCCACCCGGAAACCACCCAGGCTAAAACCCTGAAGCAAATCCGCCCTAAACCCGTCCGGCCTCGGAATCGTGCATGTGGGCAACGAGGCTCCGCCGTGCAACGGGGCTACTGCGAGGGGTTAGGCTTCCATCGACTACAGTATATCCCTTTTCTAAGAATCCCGTCTAGTCTATAATTTAACGGCGGTTGCTCGTTTTGAGGATTTCGGTGTGTCAGGTTCCTGTCTAAAGTTTGATGGAACCTCTGGCACTGAAAGGCAAACCTAGGTTCACGGATAGGTGCCGCATGCCTCGCTCCTGCAATGGCTGACCATAAATGAGCCTGATACCCTAAACCCTAAACCCTAAACCCAAAACCCTAAAACCTAAACCCTAAACCCTAAACCCTAATGATAATCTAGGCGCCTTCTTAATAAGACTGAGGCAGGCTTGATCGTTTTTTCTTAATAGGTTGTGTCGGTTTTGTCGCGTTCATAAGCACATATAATGGCTTTATGGTCGGGGCCTTAATGATCAGAATAGTACTTGGGAGCATTAGGCAAAACGTTGCAATAACATGATAATTACGACTAAGGGTATAAAGCTATCAGTTAATCGCACCCCATACTGTGGTAGATCTTACAAGAATGCCATGTCGTCCTCGATATTCCTAATATGGGGGCCTTGACAATTAGAATCCTGTTTGGTGGCATACCAAAGTAGATTTCTGTTCAAGAACCTAGAGGAATGCTGTTGGTAATCCTTCTAGCCCCTGGTATTATTCCTATAGTTCCCTTTTCACGAACCGTAATATAAAGGAGCTCTGAAGGGAACCTTGTTGTAATTACTCAGGCGCCTGTATCTTCATCCCGACCCCAAACCATAATCCACTCAACCTTCAACGTTTTTTTGGGGTAAACTCTACACTATAAACCCTAAACCATTCCTATAGTGCGCAAGACCCTAAGCTAGACCCTACATTATTCCTATGGTAACCCCTTTTCAGTAACCCTTGTTGCTTGAACCCTATAGTGTTACTAGAGTCAGCCAGAAAGCCCAATACCCGTTAAGTACGGAATTGTTTTTAATTAAAATTGTGACAATGTGGGTTAACACAGATTGTACATATGATCCCTCACCCACCTCCCCCAAGCACGAACCCAAGCCGCTCACAAAGCTGGGTGGGGCACTTGCCCCCCCCCCCCCCCCCCCTGCTTTTCGGGTTTAGGTCCCCGCCCCATTCCAGCTAATGAATTTTGTTTTCGGGGTGGGACACGAAACGACCAAACGATGTTTATTGTAGTTAAGCTTGCTTGCTAGGTTTTTGGATGCTGCCTTAGCCAGCACGGGTGCACTTAGGGCTTATGCAGGTGCATGTTTCATGTAAGTCCAATTCAAGCCCTACGCCCTGAGCCAGACGTTCCCTATAATCCAAGGTACATCTCTTTATCATAGTATCGTTGTAGGTACCTTTAAAGGAACCCTATTACAGCATATTCCCCTAAACCCTAAAACCACTGAATCCCAAACCCTCCAAAGCCAACTCTCTGGCAACCCATACTAAGTCCGCTATAATCTAAAGTATATACCTTTAAAGGAGCACTATCATCGTACACTTAAGTCCNNCCCCCCCCCCCCCCCCCAGCTCCAAGCATAGTTTTCCTTCCTCTCTGCGGGCCCTTTTTGGTAACCCTGGTGCTGTGTAGAGCCCTAAACCCTATACCTAACACCGTCTACTTACTAAGTCCCCCATATTCTACGGTATATTCCCTCAAAGGAACCCTATCATGCCGGCGTAGACCCCAAACACGGCCAGAAGAAGCCAAAGGAAGCCAGAGAGCATCGAAGCGGAGGCCCCGCCCCGCCCCTCTTCCAGCAAAAAGCCCAGAAGAGGGCACCCACCGGGTGCGCCTAAAAATGCAGAAATTAAGAGGCCAGAAGAGGGCGNNGCGCCGCTGCGGCCCGCAACCTAAGTGGGCCCCCAATAGAAGAGGCCAGAACAAGGCGCCTCACCGAATGCGCCTATGAAGAGGCCAGAAGAGGGCGCCCCACGCGTGCGCCGTTAATTGAGCGTCGAAACGGAGGTGCGCCACAGAAGAGGCGAAAAGAGGGCGAGAGCGTCGAAACGGAGGCCCCACCACGTGCGTCGCTGCGGCCCGCAACCTAAGTGAGCGTCGAAACGGAGGTGCCCCCTGGAAGAGGCCAGAAGAGGGCGAGAGCGTCGAAAAGGAGGTCCTGCGCCACCACCGTGTGCGCCGTTGCGGCCCGCATCCAATTCCTCTACTCTCAACGAAAGAATTCCATAGCGCAAGCAATCATATTACAAGGAATAAACCTAAAACCCTACTTACCAAGTCCCCCATAATTTCAGGTATATTCCTTCATAGGAACCCTATCATAGTACCCTTAAGTCCCCGATAATCTAAGGAATACCTTGAACGACCTTTTTTGGTAGGTTCTTGTTATAAAGCCTAATATCGAATTTATAAGGACCCTACAACAAAGTAGGTTTTGGTAGTTTAAGGTAGGGCTCAAGTATCCCTATAATACAGGTATATTCCTTCAGAGGAACTCTATCACAGTACCCTTGAGTCCCCTATAATCTAAGGAATACCAGAAACGACCAAACCCTACTTTTTTGGTAGGTTCTTATTGTAAACCCCAATATCGAATTTATAAGGACCCTACAACAAAGTAGGTTTTGGTAGTTCTTATATATGGAATTTTTAAAGGACCCTAAAAAAAGTAGGTTTTGGTAGGCTAAGCTATTCCTTCAAAGGAGCCACGACAGGCACCCTCTCTCTGTGTACCTCTCGCCTGGGAGCACCGAGAGCTGGCGTCAAGGCCTCTGCTTGAGAGCTTTGTTTGCAGGTTTTAGCAGGTTTTAGGGTTTTAGGGTTTTGAAATTTAAGGTTTTACGGTTTAGGGTTTTTGGGTTTAGGGATGTTTAGGGTTTGAGAGCTTTAAGGGTTTTAGGGTGTTTAGGTTTTAGACTTTAGGGTTTTAGGATCTAGAACTCAAGGTTTTAGGGTTTAGGGTTTCTGGGTTTAGGGTTTTAGGGTTTTTAGGGTATTCAGGGTTTAGGGTTTTTTAGGGTTTGGGGCTTTGGAATTTTTGGTTTAGGGTTTTGGGTTTAGGGTTTTAAGGTTTTGGGTCTTCAGGGTTTGAGGGCGTAAGGCTTCTAGGGTTTAGGGCTTTTAGGTTTTAGGTTTTTAGTGTTTTGGGGTTTAAGGTTTTTGCGTTTAAGGCTTTCAGGGTTAAGGGCTTTTGGGCTTCGGGTTTAGGGCTTAGAGTTTTTTGTGGCTTCGAAGGGATTGTCTAAGGTCTGCAAAAAGGATGTGCATGCTTCTCTCAAGTCTTGTAACGTCGTCGAAAGGGATTCAACTGTTTTGTGCTTTTAACCTGAGGCTTCTTCTAGGCAAACTACCTCCAAAGGCTTCTGCTTCCGAGTTGCGGAAGGCTTTCATGGCTGGGCTCTTCAACAGCCCCTTAATAATAAGGGCCCTGTTGTTTTCAATATTCGGGTTTGAAGTAAGGGGACCACAAAATGAAAAGGGCAAAAGGGTACCGCTGAGGAACCTAGATGGGCTGGGGGTGTGCGTGATTGCGCTTTAGTCTCGCAGCATGAGTGCCTAGTGTTATGAGCGGCTGCAGAGTTCTCCAACGTTGTCATAGAATCTGCGACTTGCCGACCATAGAATGTCTCCTGGATGATGGTCGTAAGTGCTGACAACTCTGTTCATAGCTCGGAGATGGCTTCCTTCTTGTGTTTCGATGTCTCACAAACTTGTCACAAATCCAAGACATCTTTGCATCGCCGGCGCAAGCTGGCACAACCGCTGTTCCCAGCATACCTTCGCACCCAGCGGCTTCTGCGGAGTTTACAGTTTAGGGCTTAGGGGTTTGGGGCTTAGAAGTTTTAAATGCTTTGCAGGGACAGTCTTTATTCTTGAGTACAACAGCCAGAAACACTGCGGAATGGAACCGTTTCCAGAGATCTAGGGAAGGGTCTAGGGCTCCGGCCTGCTGCATACACTTTCCTCACCCCACGCGCTCAAAATTTCAGGTCCTGAATTCCGCACTCGCAGTTGCCCATTCCTCACTCGCAGTTGCCCTTTCGAGAAACTAGGCTTGAGGTCTCAGTCCCTTACGAGAAATCCCTTGGAGAATCACTCTTAATCCATCCGTCCAGTCTTCATTAAGGGACACGCAAAAAGACAACCCTGTTGCCAAACCCTGAATCCTAAACCCGCCTCAACCTTAAACCCCCTGTTGCTCTGAGAGCCCCCGCAAGATAGCTCAGCACGTCCAGTTGCAGCTGGAGCCTACCGCGTGGCACTGCTTGGAGCGTCGGGGGGCTTAGTAAGGACCTTAACCCACCAAAACCCACTTCTTTGCAGGTTCATACTATAAAACCCTAATATGGGATTGATAGGAGGTTCTGGTGGGTTAGGGTAGTAACAAGTAGAGTTATAAGTTCCCTAATAGCGGGAGCCTAACTGGGGTTTCGATAATTGCAAGCCTAGAATAAGTCCCTCGACCCTCCGAGCGGCCTGCTAGACCACACATGTTCGATTAACCCGTACTGTTGATGATATAAATCCTGCATGACCTTACGGACCCTAAACTATGGGAATTCTGGTATCTTCCTTATTATGGGTGATGCAGGATTTATATCATCAGCCGTGGTTTAGGGTTTAGGGTCTCCTTGTACTGACGTACGCGCCAAACTCTACGTGCTGGAACCAAGGCAAGGGTTAGACAGACTCGACATGGGGTGTTCAGGGTTTAGGGCTCATATACTGAAGCCTTAAAGTAGTCTCTATAGAGGTCCTTTAGGGTCAAAGCATACTCATAGATACATGGACCCTTAGGGTAAGTGCGTGCAGCCAAGCTCAGTTGTTTTTTGGTTTACTGTAGTCCCAAACCCACCCAAAGACAGGCCCATAGAGTATACCAAAAGATAACAAGTGGTAGGGAACAGGTGGGGCTTCAGGCTGGAAAACTACTCCGGGCCTGAGTATAGGTTTCGCAGAGGGTCCATATACACTACCATTATGGCACCAGGTCCCAAAAACTATGCTTATCATAGTTTCGGGGACGTGTGTGCGTAATAATACTGTTGATGCATTACCTTAAGGACCCCAAACTATGGGAACTATGGTATAACCCTTATTATGGGTGATGCAGGATTTATATCATCAACCGTAGTTGGATTGGATTTGCTGTCCAGGATGGGGCGCATAAAGACATGCGTGCTAGGATCAGACCGGCGACCCCAGGCCATAACTGGGCCCTACTTGGTTTAGGGATTAGGGTTTAGGGTTTAGGGTTTAGGGTCTAGGGACTACTTGGAGGGTCGGGGGATGTAGTAGGGACTACTTGGAGGGTCGGGGGATGTAGTAAGCAGTTATCTTATGGACGTATAAGTATCATAACCCCAACCAGGGTCTCTCTAAGGGCACTTATAGGTCTACTTGTTATTGTTACCTACTTACTACATCCCCCGACCCTCCATGTAAAAAACAACGAAAACTTAAACCCTAAACCCTACAAGGTCTCCTGGCTTGTAGCACCTGTTTTGGACAAGTCTGCGAAAACCCAACAAATAAGTCTACAACTCAGTGCCTTGAACCACCTTGCAGAAGCCGTACTACTTTCAAATTGCTTTTTGGATAGTGCCTATAAGATATTATAAGGGAACCACAGGGGGGTGATATTACGAATTTTCCTCCCTTACCCACTCAAATTTGGAACATTGTTTGGAACACAGAACTCTGCTCCAGCTGACAATGAGGTGGGAAACAAGTTGCTTTTGTGCGAAGCGCGTAGAAGACTGGACTGATACTTTGGAAGAGCATGATACTAAGCTCTACGACACTAACACGTGCAAAGCACCCCCCCCAACCCTTTAAGGAACCCTTGGAACCCTTCTACAACCCAACAGAACCCTCGAAGGAGTCCTTGTACAAGCAACCCTTCAGCCGCAGTCGCCTGAAGCCCAAAGCCCGAGCCCATCATCCGTTTAGGGTTCAGGGTTTATCCACATTCTCGTGTCAAGCCTCATGGGTTTAGGGTTTAGTGTCCCAGACAGCACAAGCCCTCAACCCTAAGTCGTCAAAATGCAATAGCAGCACCACGCCCCAAAGATCGACCAGCACCTTTTAACAGAAGCTGTGGACCACATTCCCTAAACCCGAAACCCTATTCCCTAAACCCCAAAGAAAGGTAATAGCATCCTAAACACCTTCAGCAATAGGGGCCGTAATGACACGTCGGATAGGGCTTTGGGGTGTGTGCTATGGTGATACAGTATATGGATGCATTCTAGCATAGCTATCCGATACTGGTGTGTTTTGCGATGATATAAACGAATACTTAAAATACTTAACACACTCTATAAAAAAAAGTAGAAAGACCCGGCACGCCTGGTGCTGCTTGTGTGCTGGTAGGTGAGCAACTGCCTCGCTCAAATCTTCGGCTTTGGGGCTGTAGGGCCGACGGGTTAGGGTTTAGGGTTTAGGGTTTAGGGCTTCAGGTTCGCGGCTTGGGGTTCAGGAAGCTAGGTTTTCAAGTGGTGTAGGCTTCAGGGTGGCTCAGAATCACTAGCTTCATGCTTGAATTATTTGCGGTGCGTTTTTAAAGATTGGTGTAGAGCGTACTTACATGACTTTAGGAACGGGGGATTGGGGCAATAGTGGATGTCGCGGGGCTAGGTGTTAGCATTCACCGGATTAGCATTTGCGTTTGCAGGCAAGGGCTTGAGTTGTGTTTTGTTCTCTTTAGCATGTGGGTTTAGGGTTTAGGGTTTAGGGTTGTGTGTGTGTGTCGTTGGGTGGGGAA